ATGTTGATGTCTTCTTTAACACCTTCCACATTTGCATACGTTTTCCCATTAAGATTGTGTTGCAGCAAACAAAAAGATGGTAATCTGATGATGCCATATTTCTGATGAAAGACTTGATTTCAACGTTCCAGTTGCTGACTATAGATCTCTGCATTGACATTTTGCTGCGGATTGAGAAGTTCTAAATGAATTATTTCTTTGATGTCCCACCAAATGCAAAACATCACTTTCTGCAGATGGAGTCCAGGTTTTGGGGTCAGAAGTAGTTTTTGTTTAGGACTGAGCCATTGTTTTTGGCATTTAATATTCGCATAGAGAATCCATTTTTCATCATCGGTGACAATTCTCTCAAAAAATGGTTCATGCGCCCAAAGAGAAGAAGCAACATTCACACGTTGGAAATGATGATCATCAAAGAGTTCGTTAGGCACCCAAACACCTTCTTTATGGAGTTTTCCCATATTCCTTAGATGTTTACATATTGTTTCATGAAAGATATGCAATTTCAGGGCCATTTCACGAGTGTGTGTTGCCTTGGGTTAGACTCAACAAGCGTCTGCAGAGCAACAATATCAATTCCAACATGTTGACCCCTGCCATCACAGTTTTTAAGCCTAGAGTCACCTGAACGAAATTTGCTGAACCATCATTGACACTTACAATTTTCAAAACATTTCCATAAACTTCTTTGATATTCTTTATGGCTACAGAGGCATTGTTTCCCTTCTTGTATTCAAACAGCATTACATGCCGATTGTGTGTCTCATTGTGTGCCATCACTATAAGGGATTAGAGAATACTAAACTTTACACATTATATAGGCTACACTAACGTGATGTTTAGGTGGTTCATTTAACTATTATATGTGATGTAAGATTTTTGGGGGGTGGTTACTGAAAGTGTTCCAAAACGTGACATTAATTTCTTGACGACCTAATAGTTGTTTAAATCCCATAGATGCATTATAAACAAGATTCAGAAAGTGACCATAAGGGTTGAATAACATACTATATACAAAATAACTAAATAAAAAACTAATTGTTCCTTGATGCATCATTTTTATAATTAGAGAATTGAAAATTTATGCTCTGTAGCATCTAAAGTTACTCTTCATTTTTTATTAAGATTTTCTCAAAATTCACTCAAATATATGAAAGACCATCAATGAAAAATGCTAGATCATTTTATTAATAATATTTTTATACAATTAGAGAAGGTCAAAAATTTTTTCTTCTCTGATTAGTTATTATGACAAAAAAAAATTTAACTTGCACATTTCTGCAGGCCTATTTTGCCATTTTTGCAACCTGTCCCTGCAGATATTCATTTAACAGAAGATCATCCAAGTATTCTTAAACTTTTGTGTGAAGAAAAGGAAACTCAGAAAAGCCAAAAAGACACAAGTCATCATTCATTTAGTACTCAAACTGATTATCGGGAAGGCGAAACACAAACTGATCCTTGGACTCCTGACTTTATTGTAAAACCAGGAATTAACAGTGAAATATTAACTCTTGCAACTTTATCTTATGGTGAGTATAAAAAACAGAAATTAATCTTGAATATATTTGTAGTTTGCAAATCATTTGAGCAAGTATAGAATGCTAGAAACTAACCAAAAAAGTCTGACATCTTTTATATTTAATACAAAATCAGAAGAAAAAGGTTAAAATATAAAAGTATATATAGCAGATCCGAAATAATAATATTTCCAATGCCTCATGATAACTGCAAACGAGGAATATCATCATAATTAAATAAATTTTATTTATGTATATTTTCTAATAATACACATGTTTAATTCTTAAATTTTGAGAGGTCTTTTTTTAAGTTAAAAATTTTATCTGTTATAATAGAGTAATTATTGTTTTAACATTGAAACAGGCATATTATTTGTTGTACATGTAGCTAATTTTATTGTTGGTGCAAGTCTGCTCATAAAACTTAACGGAATGAGAAAAGTGTGATGTTTTATATATATACATGTATATGTTTATATATATTTTTCTCCTAACTAATTTCTCTTGTTCATCATACATAATTCATAATAGCTTTGTGATCAGTGCTTCTAAGTAATAGGTGTAATATAACAGTCAAGTTTTAGTTACTTATGCAGTCTTATTAGTTGGTTTATATATGTTCTTGTCACCTTATCTTCTTTTGGAAAGGATGTGGGTTACCAGCAGGCAAGACTGAAGTAGAAATGATCGAACGAGCTAGAAAAAAACGTCATTTAGAAGCCAGTTTACCTCCATTAACCTCAAACAAAGAACAGTGGGAGAAAAGACAAAGAATATTGGCTGAAATAGAATTCAGTGAATGGTCATTTAGAGAAAATGTAAGGTTAATTTCTGTTGTGTGATAACACTAAAGAATTGCTGTAGATTAGGTTATTGAGGTAGAAGCAAGCTGTACAAATTTTTCAGCTGTAGAAATGCTTTAAGGAATTTGTTATATTTTGCAAAAAACTACTTGAAGGCTATCCAAGCTATTCTATTCTAATTTAGCAATGATAGACTAGAGGGAAAGAGACTAGTCAACACTGCTAAGTCTTCAGCTACTCTTTAATGATGAAAGGTGGCGTTGACTGTGGCTGAAAGAATGAGTGTGTTTGGTGACAGTATTGAAACTCACGACCCACAGATTGTGAGTTAAATGCTCTATCCACAAGGACCTATACAAATTAAATGAATTCAGTATGATGCAACTTGTTATATGTAACATTCATAAATTTAAATACACATTAAAAAGTGGTGAAAGTAAAATAAGCAATTTGTGTAATACATAAGAGATTATTCAGAATTAACAAAGTAAGCTAAGCGTTATGTGAGTACTTTATCAAAACATTCGTAGCAATTTATTAGGAAATAAATTTATATCCTATGGATACAGGTTCACGCATTTTACACAACCTTGTAACCATGAAACTATACATACTATAACTCTGAATGTACATAATTTATCTTCATGAAATTTGGCTAGCTTTTATTAAACATTAAAAGTCGTTTGTGCACAAAAAACAGATTTTTTGATAAAATATTTTTACAAATGATTTGCCCGTGAATGCACGATATCTTTTTTGAGTCAGTCCAAGTGAAAGATGATTTTCATGCTAAAAGTAAAAATATTTTTCTGCATCTTACTGTTTTCATATTTCATTTGAATAATGTCCAGAATCTCTTAAATAGATATTAAAAATTGTTTTTCAGGAGAACTTTACATTTTATCTGTTATTTCATCTACCCCAAGAACATAGATTGAATGCTATAAACTTAGATTTTGCCTTTGTTGTATACTATAAATGCATAATATACATTAAACTCAGGACATCATATAGAGGTGGTTAGAATTTAAAAAAATATGAATTTTGAAGTGAAAAGGTGTCGCGTGAACTGCCAAATGGTGTTTGAGAATCTATTTAAATATTTCTCATTGGATTTAACAAATCAAACCCTTTATAATAGTAACATTCGAATTATAAACTCCATTTTGATGGCAAGTGTATTTGTATACATTGATATTAAAGTAATTTAATTAAGTTTCATATGTAACTCTGTAAAAGGTCGTGACATACACACTTTTACCCACCAATATAGAGAGGGTTAGAATAAGAAGTAATACAAAAATCAGTTAAAATAAAGAGTTACAGAGGTCAGTGAAGAATAAAAGAAAGAAATTTAAGAATAAATTTATAAAAATATCACTAACAAAATGGAGATTAAAAACCAAGTGTAGGAAAGTAGTATTTTCAGGTCAAACTGATTTTTCACAGATTGATGAGGTAGGTCTACAGAATAACTGGAGATTCGATCAGGAAATTTATTACAAAGTAGTTCTGAGTAACTGGATTTGTGAGAAATAAATAAAGAGACAATGAGCAATCTTTATTATCCACAAACACTGTGTGTGTACTTGCTTGATACTACAGATGGTCACTTTTACTGGAGAGCTAGATCCAAAAACTGCTTTCTATTTCAAGGTTTGTTTGAGACTGATTAAACCCTATGTAACATCAGACTTATTCAGAGCAACTAGCACTATGTATGGTTATACCACTCATAAACAAGGTACAGCTTTGCAGTTATTTCCCCAGACCAAGTATTGTGTCTGGAAGACAACACAAAACAATAGGTAGCTAAAGCTATAGCAACTTAATGACTTTCTTGGCCACATGGTACGTGAAAAGTGCACATACACCTCAATAACTGACAAATTTTAAAAGTTCTGTATCAAAGAAAGAAGACAGAAAATGCATGGTAGTATTGCATACCACAGGAAGAAAACTAAGAAATAAGAATGCATAAAAGTTGAACATCTAAGATAAACAGTGTGAAAATATGAAAAGTAAGGTTATTGATCTACAAGATATTTAAAATCACAAATATCGATACACCTATTAAAAAAAAGCATGTGTATGTAAATAATCAACAAATATTAGAAAAAGGGAAGAAGGGGAATATGGGTAAAAAATAATATATATATATATATATACGTTTATATAAAAATTTAGTTTTTCATTTAAATTTGCTGAGGAAAGGTTATCAAAAATGTTAATTAAGTAATCCTCTTTGCAGTAGGAATTGCTATTTTTAGTGGGTGCAGAGTAGTTTTAGCATTTTTAAACCAGATTCGTTTCCTGTCTTGGTGATTATGTATGAACTTCCTTTAAGTCATTCAACACCAGTATTTTTCTATTCATTTTCAGCTAAAATGTATTTTCACTTTCCCTCATTAAATACAGTTTCTTTTTTTAATTTGTTTTTCTTCATTTAAATACAACTTATGTTACTCTAGTGTTATCCCAAATCCAACAGGCTTTTCAGCTAAAATGATTACCCATCGCATGAAACTTTTGTTATCAGTTAATAAAGTGTTTCTCTTTCTACATCTTCTCACTTATTTCTGTCTTTCATTCCACCTAAAATAAATCCTTTTAGTTACTAGATCTGCAATTTTCTCTTTGTTTCAAAGATCAAGAACCATGTGCTTGCTTTATCCTAGAAATTAAATACCTTAGTGGATAATGTTTTTATTGACTAATGGATATATATATATGTTGCTAATTGCTTAAATATATGTTAATGGAGAATGTTACTGGTTTTTCTGTGATAGACTTAGAATAGCCACACTAATAGTCTATTCAACCACCTGTTTAAATTTGCAAATGAAAGTATACCTTGATGATATAAAACATTATAAATAAATATTAAAAAGTTGTGAGTGTGGATTAGAGTGAAAGAAAATGACAAAAACTAAAATCTATAAGTTATTAATTAACATAAGTAGTCAGTTTGTGGATGCAAATGTTGATATGTATGTCAGTAATTGGAAAGTGGGTATAAGAAAATAGTTAGCCAAAATTTGAACTAGAGGGAATCCTCAATAGCCATGGTACTTGTTGTGCAGCAGCAATACCAAGCATGAGGCATGCATATACCCAATTCGATTTTATTACTCATCAGGATCTCTAACAACCTTCCCTCAAATTGGAATTCTTTTAGGCATGATTAGAGTAAATTAATCTATGAGATCTTAGGCGTGGTCAAATACATCAGTTGAAATGGTTTGACCTTCTGAGTCCAAAACTGTAATTATATCTCAAATGGATCAAGAGATGACAGAGCTATGAGCTAAAAGTTTGTACTTGAAAAAAAACAACAACTCAGAACCATTCTATGAACTGCTATG